GCCGGGGCGGGAGCAGAGCCGGGGCAGCAGGATGGGACCCAGCCCCCCTCCAGCAGGACCCTGGGCACGCACCCAGCCCTGCAAGGTGCAGGCAGGGAGCCAGACCCCCGCGGGCAGCAGCAGTGACTGCCCCTCCCCAGACAGACACCTGGTGACTGACCCCCCCACAGCCCTGTGAGCCCCCCAGCACCCCCATCCTGGCCCCCCACACCTGCCCACCGGCCATCTTCGCCCCACACTTGCCCCTCGGCAGCTCCCCGGGCACCAGGCTGACCCCTCCGGCACTGGCGTGCTGGGTTTATTGCTGCGGGAGGTGGCCCCACGTGACGGCAAGGACCGAGGAGGGTGGTGACGGATGACTGCATCTCACATGGGTGGCTCACCATCCCCGTCACCATCACCGGCACCCCTCCCGCCACGCTGTCCCACACGGGCACCCTGGGGTGCAAGCACAGTGGCTGTGGTCAGGCTCGAGAAGCCGCGGCCTCAGCAGATGCCTCCTCAAGCCTGGCCGCAGCACCGGATTGTACCTTCTCCTAGGTTTGGCGCTACCCGGCTCCGGCTGCTCCCTAATCCCCGCTCCCCATCCGGGGCCAGAGCCAGCACATCCACATTCCAGCCGAGCGAGCGCAGATTAGCCGACCTGCCGCGCCGCTCTCCCGGGGCGCCCGCCAAGCCGCAGATGGCAGCCAAAACTCCCCCCCCTACTCGGGATGGAGACCCCCAACCCGTGCACCCCATAGTGCCCTGCCTGAGGGGGGCTGGCTGCAGCCCCTCCACCGTGGCACGGGTAGCAGGGAGCCGATCTGGCACAGCTCCAGTCTCACCACTGCACCTGCCCAACCCAGCAGGGCTGGAACTGGGCGGGGAACTAACCGGCACCTCCGTTCCCCCTCCAAATGGAGCCACGATCCCCAAACTGCCTTTACTGGGTGACTCGAGGGCGGTGCCGAGGGGTCCCCTCCCTGCATGGGGCACCCAGCACCCCACGCTCCTGGGGTCCCATGCAGCTGCGTCCCCCCAGCCCCAAGGACTGGGACCAGCAAGTGGCATGCGGGGGCTCCCCGGTGGCAGCGAGAGCAGCTGCCGGGAGTGGGGGGCAGAGCCCACAGGGAGGGTCAGCGGCATCAAGCGACCAGCTGGGCACAGCCAGCGCCTTCGCGCCATCCTGGCTGCACTGTGGGGGCCCCGCCAGACAGAGCCCACAGGGAGGGTCGCATCAAGCATCAAGCGACCAGCTGGGCACACCTTCGCGCCATCCTGGCTGCACTGTGGGGGCCCCGCCGGCGTCACGCCTGGGCTGGGCTCCGGCCCTAAGCAGGTTTTTGGGTTTAATCCCATTGGCAGCTCGTGGGGATTAGAGCCCTGGGAACAAATTTGGGATTGTTCTCAGGGAACGCTGAGCTGGGAAGCGGCCCCAAGCTGTGCTCTCACCGACTCTCAGCGCGAAGGAGCCGGGTGCTGGCCCCAGCACCACCCATGGGCAGCTGGCTGCCTGTCCCTTGCCTGAAACTGGGGGCTCCCCGCAGCCTACCCCACCAGCCCCTTGCTCCAGGCG